GGGGGTGCGTGGGGGTGGGGTTCCCGGGGGGGGCGGGACGTACTTGCGGGTGGGCGTGCTCGAAGACCGCGGCCCGGAAGAAGAGGGCGGTGTACTGACGGAGTCCTCATCCTCCTGGACGGTGCCGGCGCTCGGGAGGCCCATGTGATGATGGTGGTGGTTACCAAATGCATGGCCCGCCGCGAGGTGCCCCCCATGATGGAGTTGCTGCTGCTGCTGGTCATGGACACTGGGGTGGTGGAGATGCGGCTGGTGGAGCTGCTGGTGGAGCTGCGGATGGAGGGTGGACGTGAGGCTGGCGTCGCTGCCTTCCGGTCGAGTCGGAACCAGGGCAGGACGCTTCTTCGGCCGGTCAAGCCCGGCGGCGGACGGGTCATCCGATTGGAAGGCATCCGAGGCGGAGCCCGACCGGTCGGCCTCGGTGGCGGAGTTGGCCCCACCAGCCGAGGAGACAGATCGCCGGCGCTTGGAGGCAGCCGCCCCGCTGCGTGACCCGCCACCCGTGTGCATTGACAATTGCATTTGCAATGCCTGCATTTGCTGCTGCGCATCGCCGGAAAGCTTGGAAGCAGCGGCGGCCACGGCCGCCGAGCTGGCGCCACCCTTGCCGGCGCCATTGGCAGCGGCCCCGCGCAGGGGCTGGTGCTGTTGCACGAGGGCCGCCGCCGCCGCCGCCGCATTCACCAGACCGCCGACCAGGTCCGATCTCGAATCCAGGTGAATGCGCACGTGCCGAGTCAATTCGTCACACCGGCTGAAGCGCTTGTGGCAATTGGGGAAGGTGCATGCGTGTGGCCGCTCGCCGGTGTGCGTGCGAATGTGCCGCGTCAGGTGCTCATGGCGGATGAAGGTCTTCTCGCAACCGGCATGGGTGCAACGGAATTGCCGGTTGGTGGGGGGGGCCTTACGCCGGGTGGCATCGGCCGACTCGCCGGCCGAGCCGGCCTGCTTGGACGCCTCACTTGCTCCGGTAGCAGTAGCTGCTGCTGCTGCTGCTGCTGTGCCCGCGGCCGAGTTGAGCGACGCCGAGGAAGAGGCACTGGTCGGCGCGAGGGTTGTCGATGCTGAGGATGACAAGGATGCTGTCGAGGAGGAGGAGAGGCCCGGGGCACTGGCGAGGCCATTCCCGCTGGCAGCCGCCTTACGAGGGGCCACAGGAGCCGCCACCTTGCGATGAGTCAGCGCCGCGGGTGACATCCCCGGCGCACCGCCACCGGCGCCGCCTCCGGAAGAAGGGCTGGGAGAAATGTTAACTGTGACACTGGAGGAGGAGGCCGAGAGACCGGCGGCGGCCGCCGCCGCGGCCGCTGCAGCCGCTGCCGCCCCGATGGAGTGCTGCTGCTGCTGTTGTTGCTGCTGTTGCTGTTGTTGCTGCTGCTGCTGCTGCTGCTGCTGCTGCTGTTGCTGTCCCGAGGGACTCATGCCGGCGGCGCTGCTGGTCAGGTGCCCCAGCGGTGACTGGGACATGATACCGCCGCCCAGCGGAGATCCCTGCATGTGAGCCCCGGGTTGCTGGTGTTGGGAAAAGTAGCTGGGAGCGAAGATGGGTGTGGAGAAGACCGCTGTGGCGGGATGGTGCTGCTGCTGCTGCTGCTGCTGCTGCTGCTGCTGCGGTTGTTGTTGCTGTTGCTGTTGTTGCTGTTGAGGCGCCGGAGATTGTTGGCCAGGGGGCAGGGTGCCGGGCTGCGGCGTGGACCCGAGGCCGGCCTGCTGCGGGCTGGCCAAAGACCCAAGGGTGCCGGTGCCCGAGGAGTTGGCGGTGGCGGCGGCGGCGGCAGCGGCGGCGGCGGCGGCGGCCTGCGTTGACGCGTGATATTGGAGCAGGTGGCTGTTAAAGACAGATGAGTCTCCGCCGATCAGATGCGAGGTGAGATGGGCCTGGGCAGCTGCGTTTGCGGCCGCGACGGCTGCATTATTCGGGCTCTGGTGCAGGGCCATCGGTATCCCCTCAAGACCGGGGACCATCCCGCGGAAAGTTGACGTAAAGCCGAAGGGTGACTGCCCGCCGGCAAGGACCTGATGCAGGGGGTTGGCCTGGGAGTCGCCGCTGGCCGGCGATCCGACAACATGCGCATGGCCCACAGCCTGAGTCGACGGGTGGGGATGGTGTGACAGACTGGCCCCGAGGGTGGACCCGAGGACTGAGTGGTGCCCGTGAAGACCGGTCCCGCCGCCGACGCCGCCGGGGCCCAGTTGCAAATGGCCGCCGCCGGTCTGTGCGGATGGGTGGTGGAGGACACCATGCGATGGTGGCGGCAAGCCGTGGTGGCCCAGGTGCTGGCCATTGTTGGAAAGCGAAGTGTCGAGCAGGGATCCGGTCGTGTGGTAGGCTGCCGGAGTTGACTGGCCGCCGGACATGAAGGGCGCAATCAGCTGCGGCTGGTGCTGGGAGGACAGGCCGGCTGGCAAAGCCCCTTGTGACAGGGCCGAGATGGCATGCGGTAGGGCCAGGCCGGAGGACAGGGCATCCTGCTGGCCGCCGGATGCCTGCTGCGGCCCAGCCAGGGCAGTCGGGCCACTGGCGCCGGGGAACTCATGCCCGGCATGCAAGTGCCCGGCAGCCGTGCCCTGATGGCCACTGCCATGGTGATGGAGGTGGTGCCCTCCGCCGGGGGACATGTCGAGGCGGAGGCGTCTGTGGAGCCGTCATGCACACACACACACACACACACACGCATATGCACATGCACACGAGTTAAGAGGGCGTGAGTGAATGCACGGAGAAGGGGGAGAGAAGGAAGGGGAGGGGGGACAAGAGGAGGAGCCGATTGGCGCGCACAAAGAGACGAGAAGAGCGACTTGGCTCCGATGGAAGGGGGAAGGGGCGGAGAGGAGAAGAGGGTGGACGGAAGATCCGAGGGCCTGAGATGGGGTTCACCGAGAAGGAAGGGTATCAGCAGCCGAAGTGAAGCCGGGAAGGGCGGTCGAGCAATTAAGAAGCACACACCGGCGGCAGGGGGACCACCGGGGCAGAGGAAAGTGGAATAGATGGATGGGTGGGGCTCGGGTTCCCTCCGGGGTGGGAGCAACTCGGCTTGAGGGAGGGGGAGGGGGGCGAGGGATATGGAGAGAGAGATATATATGTAGAGAGAGAGGGGGGGGGGG